CAATGACCAATGCAACGAATGGAAGAAAGGGCTTGTTTGGGCTTATGGTTCTAGGTTACTGGTTCTCAACCTTCCTAATGCTGAGACCCTTGAATACAGTTCCTCATGTTATAGTGCCTCCCCACCAACCATAAAATTATTTTTGTTACTACTTCATAACTGTAATTTTGCTACTGTTATCAATCACAAATATATTTGGAGATGCAGGGTCGCCAAAAGATCATGACCCACAGGTTGAGAACCCATGGTCCAGAGAGATAAAAGTCCATCACCTTCTCAGCAGGGCAGCATGGCATCAGGCAGGCAGCTGTGACAGGAAGTTCTGAGTTCACATCTTCAACCCCAACCTCAAAACAGAGATAGACCATGGGGGATGACCATGGGCTTTAAAACCTCGAAGCCCAGTTCCAATGCTATACTTCCTCCAGTAAGACTATACTCCCTGAACCTTCCCACCAGCGCCACCAACTGGCAACCCAGTATTCAAATGCACGAACCCATGGGAGTCTTACTCAAACAACTACATGTGGTCATTCTGGGTCATGCTCCCCTGTACCTGTGGTGATATTTTATTTGTGCTGAAATGTGGTGATATTTTATTTGTATGTTAATAAATAAAGTCTGCCTGGAGATCAGAGGAAACAGCAAGCCGTTTTCAGTACACAAAAGTCAGGCAGTGGTAGCCTATGCCCTTAATCCAATCACTTGGCAGGCAGGGTCTCTGTGTGTTCAAAGCCGCACTAGGGAACAGAGCCAAGTGTGGTGACACATGCCTTTAATCCCAGTACCAACCATAAAGACCTGGAGGTCTGTACAGACAGGCAGTGACACAGAAGTGAGGTAGCTGGGCTAAGAGAGCCAATGAGAGGGCAGAACAGCAAGACAATAAAAGCCTGGGTAGACAGGAAGTCGTAGTACTTTGGAAGCTACAAAGCTGGTGGCTATTCCTATTTCCCTGATCTCTAAGGCTTTCACCCTTATATTTGGCTCCGTGTTTTTTATTTAATGAGGCTGCTTAGAAATTCGTCTGCATGTACCAGGCTTTCTCTTGGGCTGCCAGCTTGCTCCCAAATCATGACATGGTGACTGACTTGCCATTAGGCAACATTATCCACCATTTCATCTGTGCAGATGATGGCAGGAACGTATTTTCAGCATATTATTGTAGATGATGTTCCTGGTATACATCTAGCAGAGTTATGGGAGAGTAGATCATACTATGAGTATATGAACAACAAAGAGTTTCTAGATTTATTAGCTTCAAAATTATTCAAACTAATACTATCATTTGAGGGATTGAGACATTTAAGTGAATGATTAAATCTTATAATCACTTTTAAGAAGTTTATTCTAATATTGAAAATATTTAATTTGCAATATGGCAAGTAGATATATTCTTAAGCTTGGAGTTCTGATTATTTAAATATGAACAATTTTTCCAATCCATTGTTCAATTTTTTCATTTTCATGGCCTATATCTTTCAAATGAAAATAATTGCAGGAGTTGGTATAACTGTTTAAAAGTTTCTTCTCCATTCTAGTTACTTTAAAAATGGACCGAACAATTCAGTAAAACCATTTCTGAAAATCGAGCCTCGTGACATTATAAAATAGCAGTAGGATGAGATTCCTAAGGAACGGGAGCCTTAAAACAGATGGCTTAGTGCTGCAGCCTCTGGATGGTGAAGAGGAGAGAACGGAAATGCAATTGGCATTGCCCTTTGCTATACACATCTGTTGTCGTGTGTCTGTGCATTCTGCAAATGCTGTGTTCCAGATAATACTTCTGACAATGTTTATACAGTCAGCATCATTAGAAGACAAGTGAAAAAAATTATGTCCACAAGCACAGCACAAGCTCACTTGGTTATGACTCTCTCTAGTCCAGAGCAAATATTCAGTGGGTGTTCTGGTAGATCATTATGTAAGACCGGGGTTTCCCAGAGTCAGGAATCCCTGGCTAGGATGTGCCTGCTTTATGTCCAAACATTCTGTTTGCACCATTTTATTTATCCTATGAGGCGTGAAGGTAAAGAGCAGTGTGGCCTGAAATCAGAGTTCTTACTGCTTCCTGTGCTGCGATATATAAAGTTCTTTAACTTTACTCCCAGAGTCAGGAGTCTTCCAGAAGATCCATGAAACAGATAGGGTGACTCTTCAGGTTGTCTCTACAGAAAATAGAAGGCAGACAGAAACTCCCTAAACAGAAACAAAACCCTCACACCTTTTCCAATGCTTGACGGCAATGTCTCTAAACTTTAATGTGATGGGCAAGCAAACTATTCTCAATGACTCAAAATAAAACTCTTTTCCAATATTAGATCTTGGAAGGGGTTCAGTAATTATACCCCATTTCTTGGCCAAATTGAAGTGAGAGCATGGAGATTTTTGCTCTCTGCCTCTAAGATCAGCAGAGATCTGTGGAGTCTTAACATCTCACAGACAGTTACACTATTCTTTGCATTTATGATACTACTCTAACTTAACCCAATGAACAAGAAGCAGCTAGTTCCTTAGATGCCTTAGTAAGAGGTAAGTGAGCTAGCAGTAAGAGAAATCTTTTCTTCAGTTATCAGTCAGCATCATGTCCGAAAAGAGAAGTTGCTCTGTGTACCAATCCCTGGGAACTTAATGTAAGGAACATGTTAAATAGATGCTTAAAAACTGAGCAACTGAAATAGGAACATCAAATTACTATTGCTATTGATGCTTCTGACAGCAATTATCAACCTCATTGCAGATTTTGAGGTCATAAGCAACTGGGGCTTGGAAGCAAAGCTCTATAAAATCAGAATTCTGAGCAGAAGGTGTCCACAGCTAGTGCTGCATTTCAAAAGCTCCTGGGGACCATCCCAGGACAAAATCTGGGTTTCATACTTCTAAGGAGGACAACTGGTGGGTGGGTGCTAAAATCCCTATAAGAGTATGATAAAGCCAGGCAACAATGAAAAAAGAAAAAGAAAACAAAGGAAGAAAAATTCGATTGGGTGCTAGAAGCAATTGCCAGTGCCAGGTGAGGTTTTGTTGCTATGGTAACGTGAAAATGAATAGCAAGCAAATGGAAAACAGCAAATCCTGCCATTCTTCCTCTAGTCCCCCGGGTTCTTCAGACTCCTTTATTGGCAGAGTTTACCAAATATTTAGAAAAAAAGAAGTCATACTCCAGAATCCCAGCTCAGAAGCATAGAGAGTATGTGGTAACAGAGATGCATGTACTTAAGAACTGACATATTACAGAAATAAAATTCTAACTTCAAAGTAAGACTCCAGAATTAAACCCCAGTGGATGGCTAATTTACCTCTGTAAGTCTTAGCAACCAAATCTTGGGTTAGTCTTTATGCGTAAACACTTTCTATAAGCCTAATGGGTGATTCATTTCCTGAGGAAATATCCATGGATATGTTAACATGGAAGGGTGAAAATTTCATGGGGTCCTACACCTAGAACTACAAGAAACTCCTGACTGCTGAGAGAAGCAGAGTTAGCTTCCCCTAGGGATGAGCCCCCTCATTGGCTTTCCAATGCAGAGTGGCCAGTTTTGAAATCATAGATACACCACCAAGAAAAACAGACTCAGCAGTGTGTATGTGTGTGTGTGTGTGTGTGTGTGTGTGTGTGTGTGTGTGTGTGTGTGTATTCCCCAAATTTACCTTACATTAACTTAACCCAATGAACAAGAGGAAGTTAGTTCCTTAGCTGCCTTAGTAAGAGGTAGGTGAGCTACCAGTAGGGGAAATCTTTACTTCATATATATAGATTTGTGCATACACATACATATCACTGTGTGTATGTAATAATAATTTGAAAAAAGATATCAACTTGAGAGTACAGGTATGGGAGCGGTTCAAGGGGGGATAGCTGGGAGGGGCTGGAGTGAGAAAAGGGGGAAGTGATGGGATTCTATTTTTTTTTAAAGTGAATAAACAATTTATTTAACATTCAAACTTCACTAAGACATGTGCAATATGGCAATTTTACTGGGGGTTTAACCCTACCAAGGATATGATTGCTTGCTTAAATATTTATTTGTTCTTTTATGTATATGAGTGCTCTATCGACTTTATGACGTTACAGATGGTTGTGAGCCATCATGTGGTTTCTGGGAATTGAACTCAGGTCCTCTGGAAGAGTAGCCAGTGCTCTTAACCTCTGAGTCATCTCACCAGGCCCCGGGGTTCTATTTTCATTATAAAAACATTTCTAAAAAAAACATTTCTTTATCCCTTTGCACAATTAATCATTTCTTCTATTATGAAACATATTTCCAGAGTAATAAAAATGAAAATATACACCGAGGACAAAGTACTACCTATTACCTCTATTGCTCTAAGAACCACATATTTGATTACTTTATCTAATCCTCACAAACCTCCTAAGTTTTATACCATATTCCCATATTTTACAAATAAGATTAATTAAATAACTTGCCCAGAGTCACACAGCTAATTAGAAGTAGAACTAGTTCTTTAAAGCTTATGTCTTAAAAGTATTATTTTAGTTATGTGTATATGTCTGTGTGTTGACTCATTCATGTGAGTACAGGCTCTCTGTAGAGGCCAGAGGTGGCTGATTTTCCTAGAGCTGGAGTTATAGTGGCTGTGAGGTGCCTGGCATGGTGCTGGGAACTGAACTCAGGTCCTTTGCACCTTTCCTGGAACTCACTTTGTAGCCCAGGCTGGCCTCGAACTCACAGAGATCCTCCTGCCTCTGCCTCCTGAGTGCTGGGATTGAAGGCATGCGCCACCACCGCCTGGTTAGGTATGATAAATTTTAAAGTTATTTTTCTTTTTGAAACAAAATTCCTTTAGCTTCCGGTTCTATCCCCCATTCCAAACCAACCCCCGCCCCCCCAAAAAAAACAACAACTTTCGCTGCATTCTAGAGCTTTCTCACATCTCTCTTCAAGATGCTTTATTGACCATTGGCCACTGCTGATAGACCATAATACATCCAAAATTTGTGAACCCAGATAAAATGAAAGATTTCTCAACATATTGCAAGTGGAACCAACAACTTACACTTGAAGCTCTGTCTAAGGTTTAATTTCCTCAGACTGTTATGGTCCGACGGGTCCAAAGATTCCCATCTTCAACAAACCACTTCACTTTCCAAACTTCTGCAAAATGCTTCAGGAGGTCTAGGGCAACTGATGCAGAGACCGAAGCCCGGCCCCTGGACCCTATGCGTCCCACCCCCACTCGCGTAGAGCTTGTCTGTTGCCATAGAAACCCAGAAAGCGCCATGGCTGCCGCCGGTCAGGCAGATGAGTGTTCATCACAGCCGGCGGCAGCCCCATCCAAGTCATCCTCACCTTTACCGTCAGCTGTTTCCGTCCAAAAGAAGCCTAAGAAATGTATGATGTATCCGCATCCCCCGAGGAGCTCCCGCCTGTCACGTACCGTCCTGCGCTGGCTCCAGGAGCTGGATCTCAGCTTTTTCCCTAGGAACATCACCAGGTGCAGAAGCAAGCCAGGCCCCAGTGAGGGGCCCCAAGTCTCACCCCCTCTCCCCTCCGCCACCTGCAGGGCTTCAGCTCAGGCTCTATTGTCCTGGAATTGCCCTCCCCGCTTGCCCATTCACCCTACAAGACATTACATATCAAAACAGGAAGCTCCAGAAAAACTTGAAACTTTTTTTTTTTTTTTTTTTTGCATCGACTTTATTCAACTGATCATTACATTGTAGACTTAGGCTAACACAGAGTGCTTTGATAACTACAAAAGCCAAGGGTTCTCTGTATTAATAGTAATAAGAATTAGTTTACCCTCGTTTAGAAAGGAGGTAAGTTCGAGTGTTACCTAGAGTTAAAAAGCTGCGGTTTACCGGAAACACGCTGAATGTCCCTGGCCGTTGCTATGGAATGTGAACAAAATTCCATAAAAATGAAGACCATGGATCTTTTGCAGGAAGACTAAATTACAAGTTTCAGTAGTGGACTTTTCGAACAAGCGTCTGTGAAACTTTCAGTGGCCATTTGAATCACTTGGCAATATTGTTAAAGCTAATCATTTGGATTCATTAAAGGAACACCAAAGCCTTAGAGAATAATTTTAACACACTGCTTTCCCATTAAGAGTCCTTCTTAGAAAAATGAACCAACACAAGTGTTTCCAGACATTTTGTCATTACGAAGTATTAGCGATTAATCACACAATTACATAAATTATATTAACGATACTTTTTTTTTCTTCATTTCCTTATTGTTATGCATCAGGGATTTTTCAAATGGCTACCTAGTTGCAGAGATATTCTGTATATATTATCCCTGGCACCTTAGGTTATCATCCTTTGAAAATGGAACCTCCTTAAAAGTCAAGCTGGATAACTGGGCACAGATAGAGAAGGTAAAAGAATAAATTCACAACAGTTTACTGCGGAGTTTGTTTTAGAAAGTGCACCTTTTAAATTATTGGTATCTGTGTGTGAGAGAGAAACAGGAGAGAGTATGTCAAGTCTCGGATATAACTGAAGTTTGTCGAGCTCCAATTGTTTACATTACAAAATTATAAATAACCTATGAAATTCAGCATATATCAGTTAGTGTGGTACATAACAGTGGCTTCCTTGCAAACAATAGCAAACGTTGATAATTAACAAAAATTTTAGTTCAAAAGAGAAGAGGGCTGATTAAAGTAAATTCGTAGAATTTGGTTATTTTCTAGAACTTTCAATGACTAAGTATTTTCTATTATTAAAGTTTCTAGCAAAAAGAAATTTAAAACTACCTAAAGAACTAATCCATGGAACAATTCACTGTAAACCTGGGGTGCCGGAAATCCTGATTCAAGAGGTTTACACTTTACTCACACATCGCGAGTAAGTAGTTTGAAATTTTCTAACTGTATAATTTAACGTAAACTTGGGATGGTGTAAGGCTCATGAATAAGACATGTTTTGCCAACAATACTCTTGTTTGTTATTTCCAGAATTAGAAGCATCCAGGAAGACTACCCCAATTTCACAGACTATAGTTACCAAATGCGTTTGCCGCTCGTTCCCAGGTCTACCCTTTCAAAGTCTATTAAAGATAACATTAGGTTATCGGAATTACTAAGCAATCCCAATATGCTCAGCAATGAACTCAAGATAGAATTCCTCTTCCTTTTACAAATGTTGCAAAGAAAATTGAGTAGAAAACTGAACCCAGGTAAGCTTTCCCCGCCGACAGGTGAGTTCTTCTGAAATAAGTAGTTTTGGTCTTGAGCTCAGATGGGAGAAAAGGGTGTGGTAGAATGAGTGATTCTCACTGGAGTGGATTCTTTCTCAATCTGTTTCTTTCTGTGGAAGCCACAAGTTACATAGGGAATAGACTCCCATTTTTAGAAAAATGTTTATCAGCCTACAAATCAAATGTTTGTGGGAAATAAGTTCACATATCACCCACACTTCAAGAGAGTAGGAACATTGGCCTCAAGTGGTCCTCTAGGTGTTGGGAAGAGCTTAAGATTATCATGATTCATTCTTGATGCCATGGGGGAGAATATGGTAGGAGATACTCTTTCTCTAGTATAGTTGTTGGTATGTGGGTGGAAGGGCAGCTTCCCAAAGGCTCACCAAAACGATTGTTAAGTCATCTTAAACTCTTGCCGTCCTGCCCATCAGTTGTCCCAGGCAGGTGGCAGAGAAAGTGAAAGTGGTATTCCATTTCTACCATTTTCTCCATTTTTTTTTTTGCCTCTGTTTTTATCTTTCTCATGTCTGTATCTTATCAACTGCCTCCTGGATTTCACACATAGAAAACCGATTGTTTCTGTAGCAAACCAACTGTTCAGGACATCTGTGTGTCGTTAGGATGTTTCTTCCCTTTGACTACATTTACTGAAGGAAAGAGCCACGTTCTCTCCAGTCTCTGGAAGGTGGAAGGCTGCAGCTTGAATTCTTCTCCACACTTGGGCTGTGTGGATAGCCCCCACATGAATGCTGCTTGGCCTTTTGTCTTCCCTTACTGTGTTCATTTCTCAAACTCCTATACTGTTTCTCTTCCTTGATCTGTTATCTCTGGTTCTACTCATTTATTTGTGAGCAACGAAATAACATACCTTTGCAGGATTTTATACTTAAAATATGTATGTTTTAAACATTACATGTAAACATTATAATTTTGTTGCAAAATGTATCGCACACCCATGTATTTTATATATATATATATATATATATATATATATATATAAATTATATGAACAATTTAAGAAGCTGCTAACCATGGCAAACTATAAGACAAATTACTAGACAGTCTTACTAATAAAAACCCAGAGCCAGATATTGTGATTAAAACCGAGAGATCAGAAAAACAGAAAGAAGCCAGCCACGTTTTTCTCACCATTTGGAGACCCTCAGCCAAAGCCTGTATACCCACACCTATATGCCTTTGTATTCTGCATCTCACTTCCTCTCTGTACAGACCTCCAGACCTTTATGGTTAACTAGAGTTGGAATTTAATGCATGTGCCACCATGCCTGGCTCTGTTCCCAGTATGGCCTTAGACTCACAGAGATCCAGATGGATCCCTGCCTCTCAGGTGATAGGATTAAAGGCATGAGCTACCATTGCCTGACTTCTATGTTTAATTTAGTGGCTGGCTTTTTCCTCTGATCTTCAGATAAACTTTATTAGGGTGCACAATATTTTGGAGGACACAATACATTACCACAGTAAACAGTTGTCCATCTTTATGCAGTTTAAGAAATAGAATAGTACCAACACCTTCTCTTCTCTGGGTGGACCCTTCTTGATTGAACTCACCACATTCTCCTCCCAGGGAAACCACTGTCTTCCTGCTTGAGTTGATAGATTAAATTTCCTAGATTAAATTAATTTCCTAGATTAAAATAAAGTTAAGCCATATATACCATCATGTTATTCTCAGTTTTAGCCACACACATATACACACACTTGTGTTTGCATGTTCTGCATGTGTTGTACTAGTGATTGAATCAAGGGCCTCATGCATGCTAGGCAAGTTCTCTACCATTTAGTTATATCTCCATGTGTTGTTTGTTTGTTTGTTTTTGTTTTTCCCAACAGGGTTTCTCTGTGTAACAAGTAACAACTCTGGCTGTCCTGGCACTCACTTTTTAGATCAGGTTGGCCTTGAACTCACAGAAATCTGCCTGCTTCTGCCTCCTGAGTGCTGGCATTAAAGGCCTGTACCACCAAGCCTGGCTATATCTCCGTGTCCTACAATACTTCTTTTCTTTTCTCTTCTTTCCTTTCCTTTTCTAAAAAGTGAGTTTCTTTCATTTTATTTTTTTATTGCTTTTGTTGTTTTTCAGAGAAAGTCTTTGTCTTTTTTATGTTATTGAAAATAGATTTTTTTTTTATACAATGTATTCTGATTACAGTGTCCTCTCTGCCAGCTCTTTCCAGTCCCTCCGACTTTATTGTTATTTTCCTACACCATATTCTGATTATGGTTTTCTTTTCATCTCTTCCCGGATCCTCTCCACCCTTCCAACTCCACACCTTCTTTCTCTCTCTCTCTCTTATGAAAACAGGCAAATAAAAAGGACAAAGAAACAAAAAAGAAAGAAACTAAGAGAAGGAGAAACACATACCGAGAGACACAAACAAAACCCATCAAAACCCATATCTATACATCTAACTTCTGTTGATTTTATGGAGCTGTGTAGTGTGCAGAAAAAGTCTTCACATTGCCTGCACCTTAACATTTGAGAAGTATACTTATTACATGACAGTGCAGAGAGTCTTTTGTAGATAGAACCAAAGCTTGGAGTTCAAAATCAGGTGGGTCCTGGGCAAAGATCTTTCTCCAACTGAAAGTAGAAAGATGTAGCAGCAGAAGAGAGGTTGCTGACTGGGGGACATAGAAAACACAAGAAACTTTGTGGCCCAGCTTCTAGGTCAAAACAAACAAAACAAAACAACAAGGACAAACAATCATGTTTGGTTGATGGTTAGGAAAGAAAAATAACTCAGACCCACAAATGCAAAGACAGACTCTATGCCTAAATGAGCATGCACGGGCAGGGGAAGTCATCCCCCCCCCCCCCCCCGAACTTCCAGGAAAGAACACAGCCCAGCTGATACTTAAGATCATAGTTGGAAGACTCCACATGGAGGACCCAGACATCCAAACTGAGATTAAAATGGCTAGTATAATCTTAAAAATGTATGGTATTGTGTTATGGTAGAAAGGAAGAATAAAACTTTATAGGTAATTCGGTGTTTCCAGTGCATTGTCAATGTGATCACTTTTATTTGGTGATTAAGTGGAGCCTTTTGCTTTTAAGATCTTACTGCATCTGTGTTTTCTCTGAGGAGTGGCTTATTTTAGCACTACCTTGGAATGGTTTATTCTTCTTTCCCTAACTTCAAGGCCCGTGTTCACATTCCACCTCCTGTGTATCTGTTCCTCCAAGCACTCTTCTTCTTACTCACCTCACCAACTATTGTTTTATAAGTAAGTGTTGATAGCTCACGAAGCCGCCAATCTTATTCTGCTCTGAAGTGGTCTATTGAGTGGACCTAGCTGATTTATTTTATATCAGCTTCCACTGTTAGGTCATCAGTGTTGCCTACAGTCATGTCTGTATTCAGATCTATCCTAACTGTTTAAGCTTTTCATCTATCTTGTTTCTGTAGCTTCTCTCTTTTACTTATCTTTTGGTCTGAATTCTTTAAAAAAACATCCATTGTTATCGGTTTTTGAAAACCTCAAATTGCAATTCTTTAATGCTACACTGGAAATAGGAACATGTACTTTATTGTGGTCTAAAAGATGTGCACCATCTTCCTTGAGCTATAAAAAAACGGGAATATCGAGGTGAGGGTCTGCTACCTCCACACGTCACTGAAAACCTTTTGTCTAGCATTTCACTTTGCCTAGTTAGGTTTTGTTGTTGTTACTGCTGCTGCTGCTGCTGCTACTGATTTTCTTTTACCTTTTGGAAGGTGTCACTTAGGCTATCTTAGAACTCACTCTGCAGCCCAACCTGGTCTGAAAACCATGATCCTCCTGCCTCAGCTTCCAGGTACACTGATTTTAGACATGAGACTCCACACCCCAACCAGGTTGCTTTTAAAGCAACCAATCAGATATTAATGAATGTTTCATCTCATTTAAAAGTCCATCTTTACTCCTGTATATTGTTTTCTTTGGACATAGCTTCATATAGCCACGAGCACATTTTTTTTATTCTTTAAATAATACTCAGTCTCCTATGGTGATTCATACTTTTCAATTTCTTTTATTATTTATTTATTTATTTATTTATTTATTTATTTATTTATTTATTTATTTATTTTTGTGTGAGTGTGTGTGCATGCATACCACAGCACATGTGGTCATAGGACAACTTTATGGAATCAGCTCTCTCCTTCCACAATTACTTTTTAACCTACTGAGCCATTTCCCTGGGCTCATCTTGGTACACTGGATTATGAAAGTTTTTCTTTTTTAAATGTATTCCCAAAGCAGTGAATAGAGATGTTAAGAGTTAAGGGACTGGTGCTGATGGGTGTTTCTTTTGCCCTCAGAAAGCATGGGTGATGAGCAAATAACCATGATGTAAGATAAGCTACAAGGATGGAAAGGGCCTTGAACTGTGAAGAGAAAATGGTCAAAAATGGGACTAGCTTAAAGGAAATTTGAGAAATGTGAAAACAGTGTTGTCACTAAAGTAACTACTTGTTTGCAGAACAAAACAGATGCTGTATGATTTATTTACATGAACTACAGAAATAGACAAAACTAACTCACAGTGACAGTTGTCAGTCACCTTGTAGGGTACTCTGGGCCACAGTGGAAGGCTTGGGGTACTCGCATTACATGATTTCTCTTGAGCTGTGTAATGATACCTCAAGGTGTGTTCATTCCAAACACCAATTCATTGGCATGAATTCAATTTATGATCTATGTTTTTATATAAGATCTTGAATAAAACCATAGTAAAAACTGAAAGGACCACCTACAAGTCTCCGTGGGAAAAGGAAGCCTGGTGACCTGTGTTTGATCCCCGCAACCCACATGGTACTCTTAAGCTGTGACACTCATGCTCCTGCCTCCCCCATTCACACATACACTGAAACAAATACATGCCACAAAGTAAAAAAAAAATACAGGAGCATAAAGACACGACCTTTAAAGTGATATTTTAAAATACAGTGACTACTTTGTTTATCAAAAATGACCAATGGGGAGGAGAGTTATACAATATGATAAAAACAATAATGTCCTTAATTATTAAAACCCAATGACTTCTTTCAATAATTCCAGTGTGAATTTAAAAAACAACTTTGGTGTTTATATCCTATAGGGTGGTTCAACATCAAACCAACAGTGGGAGAAATTACAATTGACCATCTTCCTGTGCATGGATGTGGGCGCAGATATAAGTCAAAGATTTCAAAAGAAAGAGTTATGTCTTCTTTATGTAAGTTTCAGTTTTAAGTTTTTGTCTGGTAACTGGATTTTTAAAAATTGTTCCTGTAGAGTTTTGGAATAAGGTAAAATGTCGGTCTGAACTTCACTCTGAAACCAGGTATTAACTTAGTGATGTTCTGCATCTTGACAAGCAGAGTGAGGTAGCCAAAGGTCTTCTCTGCCAAACCACACTATACAAACCATCTGAGTTCACATCCTCAAGAGCAGCTGCTGGAAATAAGAGAAGCTTCACTCAGAGCTCAAAAGCCAATCCCTCCATAGCTGGGGGGATGGGCTGGATTTCCCAGAAACAGAATGACAAGAGGACACTATTTAAACCACATCAACACAGGAAGCCCTTGAGTCACAGCAAACCGCAGTCCACGAGAACGCAGGTGGCCCGGTCAGCTGTTGTGCAGCTTATCAGTTAAGAAAGCTTTTTTTTTTTCCCCCTTTTTCTTTTTAAATTTCTGATGGCTGGAAAAATCAGAACAGTATTTCCAGACGCAAAAACATGTAATGGAATTCAAGGTTTTCTGTTAATAAACTACACAGGAAATACCCACCCAGCTTGTTTTCTGCCTGGTCGTGAGTCTTTTTATTTTACAGTAGCAGGCGTCAGTAGTTGCCCAAGAAATTGTATGGCTCACAAACTTTGAGTTGCCAGATTTAGCTAATAAGAACCAAGGTTCTTTTAAAAAAAATTTAAATTCTAAAATTCTTTTTAAATTTGCTTTCATTTTGAGATACCATCATGTTTTAGAGCCCAGGCAATCCTCCTGCCTCAGCCTTCTGAATGTTGGGGTTATAGACATTTACTGCCATAGCTGGCTACAACAAATAACATGTTTGCTTAGTATACATTTTCACTTGAAAGATGATGCTTATCTTATTTACTAGGTACTCTGTATTTTATTTGATAATTCTAAAATATTATCAAGTCCTTTATAGAACATATTTGTTCATGTTGGAACATGTTGCTTTGCATGGTAAATTTTAATAGGTGTTGGGGGGTATTTCTTGTTTCCATCAGATATGAAAGAGCAGTCTCAGCAGGGCCATTTCAAAAGAATTATGATCTCTGGGGGCCTTTAATATACTAATACATATTTTAATTATTTTTTAAAATGGGTTTCAATCCTCTTTTAAAAAAAATCATAAATTACTGTTATTTACTTTTGCTCTGTTAAATGGCCTCATTGAACAAGTGTTCTTCAGAGCTCAGACTGTAGACTGTAATACTCACACAGGAAGCTGCCCATCAAACCCCCTTGACTCATCATCCACCTGAGGTGTACAACATTTAGTATGCTAGAATCCAGCAGTTATGACTGACAATGCTTTTATGAAAAATGAATCCAGAATCTCACTTTGGATTCTACGAATGCATCCTGTCTTTCAACTTCCATAACCCTTTTTCTGTAAGTGGGATTTGTAGTAAAGGCTCCAGCTTGGTGAGGCTGTCAGTAGAAACAGTATGGAACTGGTCCTGATGGGAAGACCACAAGGGGCGTCTTGCTCCATCTTCTTCTCCTTGCTTCTTTTTCCTTATACCTGTTGGATCTGATTAGGGATGGGAAATGGTGAGAGGGGACAGGAGATTCAAAGAATGGTTTCCTTTCTGTGTACAGAAGAGAGGCAGCATACAAAATCCTGGATCTCCACATTCCCTCAGTGGTACACAAATGAATAAATTAATTTAAAAAAAAAAGGAAATTAGAACAGGGTCTGTGTGCTGGCTAGTTTTATATCAACTTGTGAAAAGCTAGAGTCATCAGAGAGGAGGGATCCTAAACTGAGAATGTGCCTCCATGAGACTGGGCTGTAGGTAAGCCTGAAGGGCATTTTCTTAATTAGTGGTTAATGTGGGAGGGCCCAGCCAACTGTGGGTGGTGCCATCTATGGACAGGTAGTCCCGAGTTCTATAGGAAAGCAGGCTGAGCATGTCATGGGAAGCAAACCAGTAAGCAGCATTCATCTATGGCCTCCTGCCTCCATGTTCCTGCCCTGCTTGAGTTCCTGCACTTACTATTTTTGATGATGAACTGCTCTATGGAACTGTGAGTAAAACTAAACCCTTTTCTCCCCAAGCTGCTCCAGTCATGGTGTTTTATCACAGCAGCAATAAGCCTAACCAAGGCAGTCTGACACCTAGTTAACTGCAACAAAACAAAACAAAGTCCTGAATGCTTCATTGAATTGCTAATGGATGTTTCTGATTATGGTTATTTAATTTGGAACCCTCTAAAAGCTCACGCAGGTATTTAGGAAAACTGAATGACAAACTAGGCAGGGTAGTGTTTGTATGTGTTTAGGTCCATCACTTGTCAAGCTGAGGCCAGGAGTCTGAGTCTTAGGTCAGCTTGCATTGCATAATGAGATGCTGTGTCTAAACAAGGAAATCAGAAAGCAAACCATAAAAGAAACAAGGAAATGAAAACAGCCTGCTCTCATTACTTCAGAAAGGACTTCAAATAGAAGGAATGTTTGCTTTTACCATTTGAAAAATGGACTGCTGTGTAGACACTTCCTCCTTCATAGCCTTCCTTCAGGCTTCCTATTAGTGACCCTCTGGGTGGCCTTTTAAGATTTGCGATTCTCTTCTTTTTCCAAATGGCCGACAGATTTGAGGGATAATGCCCTCTGGATGGGATGTGGACACACATATTTCTCTTTACTTCTCTCAGTCCTGTTCTAGTCACTTAGATTTTTACTTGAAGTGCACTAGGATGAAGGAATGGTTTGCTTGATTTGGGTAATTTAATATATAAAAACTATTTTACACATTTTATAATTTTTATAATTTATAATATAAAAGTAATTTCAGTTCAGGTGTTTCTGGCAAAAGGATACAATGATTACTTCAAGTCAGCTTTTATGAACTGAAAGCTGAGGACCGAACCCAGGGCCTTGTGCTTGCTAGGCAAGCACTCTATCACTGAGCTAAATCCTCAACCCCGTTAGGGGGACTTTATTCTTTAGGTTTGGTCAGAATCTCACTAAAATTACATGCTGTTCTCTGGAATACAAAATTCCAGTCAACAGTAAAGCAAGTTACAATTTAAAAAGTTATACACTTAAGTTTCTATAGTCACTTGCCTAAATCTTGTGTCTCAAGGGACAGCAAAGGCAGATTTCTTTGTTGCCACTGGCCCATCACATTAGAACTGAATGATCTGGAGTCTGGGTGCCCAGAATGGATGACAGAGTAATGGGAGTTCTATAAACTGAGTTATGACCCATGCATATTTGCCAAAGCTAAGTACAAAATCAGGTCTCTGTTTGTTCAGCTGCTTTCTGAAGCAATATCTATAAATACATGAGTTATGTCATATGCACCAAAATAAACCCTGGATATTTTCAGCCATTGCTGATAAATTTTGGAGGAGGTAACGCATTACATTATATTATTTATAATGTATGATTTAAATATTCTGTTTACTAATTTATTAAGTATAACCAGTGCTAAGACTTTTGTTATTCTGAAATAGATTTGCTATATTAGAGAGATCCTGATAAGGCTATAGACATCTCATAACTATGAATTCATTCTTTGTTACTTTAAATATCCCAGCAAAATCAAGCAATGATGAGAACCAACATAGAGAAATTCAAGTGAAGCAAAGTGGAAAACCTTCTTGTGAGTCTGTTACAAAAGCTATTAGAACTTCGGACGAAACAAAAGAGGACTCATGTGAAGCAGCTTCGAAGAAACAATGTCACTAACATCTGCCACAATGTGAGAACATAGTGACCCAGCCTTGGATGTATTCCAATAATAAATAACTTAAATTGGTGTCTTCGCTGCAATTGAGCTAAAAAAGATTTCTTTATGTGATTCCACACATAGCTAGCTTCTAAGCGTCATCAGAACATGGTTGAAAGAACATCACATGATGAACAATGCTTTGGGGAGCTATGAGAGAGGCCCCAGGAAAAAAAGGCAGAGGCCTTTTGCTTCAGGTGCATTTTTTTCCCTTGGTTGTTCTTGGACATGATTTCCTGCCTCCTGAAACAAACATCTGCATTCAATTTATAAGACATGTTATTCTTGTTGGGTATCAGAACACAGCTATAGGACCTATCCTGATGAAAGGATGTGCTGAGTGCTGTCCTCGGTGTGCCCTGAATCTGGGTATGGCCTTCTGTCTTGCTTTCATGCTTTCCCAAATATAATCTATAATACATGCCTGGCAATTGTGTTCTAACTGGTCTGTCCTGAGGAAGTTCTGGAAAAAAGGCTGCTCTGTGAATATTTAGTATGTGCTTATGGGCATTTATTTACATTTTTTTTTCTGATCATGTTTTTTTTCTGAACTCAAACAACCTTCCTTGTACCATTGTTTTGTTTCATTCTTGTATAAAGGTACTCTGAAACTGCATTAAAATTCCAGGTCTTGCAGACAGATCTACATAGGTTGGCAAAGGTAGACAAGTAGGTACATCAAGAAACCAATGAGCACAGCCAAACTGCATGGACAAGAAACAGCAGCTCCCAGCCGGGAAAGTTTGTTGGGTTTTACAGAGGCCTGCTGGGAGGGAAGCTGCAACACTGGAATACCCAGGTGGGTAACCATGGGAACACCAGAGATGCTTCAGTTGTGATCAGAAGCATTCGGGTACCAACTGCCATGGTCAGGAAGGTTCAAGTGTGACTGTTCTAGTCAGCAATGCTCAGGCAGCCATTAGGGATTTGAAAAGACTTCAGGTTTCTGTTTCTCAGCAAAAGCAAGTCTCCTAGGAAAGGCGAGGCCATCGTAGGACCTGGACCAGCACCTTAAAATGTTGACATTAGCTCTGCCATTTTGGGGGCCCTGTCTTGGAGACCTGATATTCCAGTCCTTTGTTGGTGGTAAGCCACTTACAGTTGAGTAGAAATATTGGAAAAGGGAAGGTTTGGAATTCTTGTCCCAAGCAGGGCCTCAAGCTGGCAGGTGGTGATAGGAGACCTGAGGAAATTCTGTGAGAATCATCTGGCTTTCTGAACATCTGGTCAGCTCATTGTTTCCTGGAAAAGGAAAAAAGTCTGAAGAGACTAGGCAATCCTTACTATGAGGAGAATACAGATGCGAGGCTAAGGAGAGGTACAAGCCACAAGGCCACAGGAGACTACAGTGAGGGTCTTGTGTTGGAATCAGGCCCTGGGTGTAGCAGGGGGTTACCCCTGCATGCCAGCTCATGTAGGGTTTTAATCTGCTCTTCGAGCTGCCCAGATTGGTAGCAGTTTGTTTCAGAGTAACAGCAGTTTCCTTCCTTGAGAATGAAACAAGTGCCTTCTTCATCAGCTGCCAGAGGGTCTAGTTTGGGCAGAGTGTATTTGAAATCTCCATGCCACTTACCCAGTCTGAGAGATCAGGAGGACAGAGAAAATTCCCAGCAAAAGGAGGAGAAGGAGCCCATACTAGATGTTCTCAAGGATAGGAGGTTTGTCGGCATTCTCTAGATGAGCAGAACTGATAGAATGAGTATAGATGATAGATTAGATAGATAGATGACAGACAGATGACAGACAGACAGACAGACAGACAGACAGACAGACAGATAGATAGATAGATAGATAGATAGGAAGGATAGATAAGATAGGGGATTTGTGAGACTTACAGGCTGTGAATTGGGGTTAAAAATGGGTCTTCCCAGCCGGGTGGTGGTGGCACGTGCCTTTAATCCCAGCATGCGGGAGGCAGAGCCAGGCGGATCTCTGTGAGTTTGAGGCCAGCCTGGCCTATGTAGCGAGATCCAGGACAGGCACCAAAACTACACAGAGAAATCCTGTCTCAAAAGAGCAAAAACAAACAAACAAACAAAAAATGGGTCTTCCCACTTCAAATAATTTAATTAAAAAAACCTCTCACAAGTACACCCAACCACTTGTGTTTTAGTTAATTCCAGATGTGGTCCAAATTGACAACCAAGATTGCCATTCATAGGAGGCAAGCAAGAGATTCTTAGCTTTAGTGATCTCATCTGACAGGAGTACTTATCTCAGAGAAGGGATGAGGGGCCTGTTGGAGCTGTAACAGATGGGTCCATGTCGAGACTCTCTGAAGTTGGGATGGTGAGGATGACCTGATGTGGGAGAGCCTGTGGATGACAGGCTGTCAAATAAACCCAGTTCTGTGGTAGGGTGGTCTGGGTGATAGGGTCAGCTGAGTGAGGATACAATCAGCGTGTTCTCTGAGGTGTCTGAATAGAGTAAGTGAAGATAAATAGTCATAGAGTGGGCCTGATTCCAGAGGAGGTAACTTTCCTGGAAGAATAGGACAGCAGTACATTAACTCAAATGGGCTGAGGGAGGAGGAGCTGGCACCTGTCCTGAATGCAAGTTAGGGTGAGAGGTAAGGGTTGAGTTCATGGAAAGTCAAGTTCAGAAGACAATTTCAGTGAGTTTTAATAAACATTAGCCCTCTTTACCTTTCCTGAGGATGTAGAATTGTAGGGAATGTGAAGATGCCACAGCTCTTGACACTAGCTAGTTGACTTTAGAGATGAATGCCAGGCCATTATCTGACAGTATAGATCTAGGAAATTCAAATATGAACAAAATACTCGTGTGGTGGAAACATACCACTTCTGCAATCTCACCCATAATAAGGAAAGCTCCCAGCCACCCTGAGAAAGTCTACCATAGTAAGAAGATATTTATTTGTTGTTGTAGTTAGGAGGCATATGTGTAAAATCTACCAGTTTTCCCCAGCATGACTACTCCAAAGCTGGTATGGATTGAAGGAAGGAGGAGTTCACAAAGCTTCCTGTGGGGAAGTTTGGGTACAGGGGTGGGGCATCCCTAGGTGACCAGAAGACCAGAAAGCTGGGGTGGAAGAAGGGAGGTTGGAGGAAGTGGTGAAAAGGTTGATACCCAATATGAAAGGACTTGTGGATATCTGTCAGGAAGGGTTTGCCTGAGCATCAGGGAGAAGTATCTGTCTTGTAGAAGAAGCAGGCCACAGGGGCCTACAATGGCTTCCATGGCCCAAAGAGTCAGTTACTGGGACTCAGGGTAGGTAGGCATTTTTATTGACTTTCATGTCTTTTGAAGCCTATCTGCATTGCAGTTTATATAGTCCTTTATAATTCAATTAAAACTTCCCTGCAAATATATAAATAATATCATTTATCAATGAGATACATATATTTCCTTTGGAATTATAGAAATATTTTATTTTTGAAATTAATAAAATTTAATATTATTTCTTCATGTTTTCCAACCACCAACCCACCTCCCAACCTATTATTCTTGAACAACCAAAATGAAGGTTATAAATATTCCAAATTTCCTTCTTACAAAAACTACTAATTATGCAGAAAAAAATCTTCAGTCAAAATGGATTGAGTCGTATTCCAGTTCCTAAAGGTGAGAATGGATTCACCTTTGCCCACATCAGAGCATCGTTCAAAGAAATAGTCGATTTCCCATCTTCCAGGAAATACACAGGGCCCTGTGTACAGAGTTGAGAAGAGAGAAGATGAAACTATACATTGGAGCATTGGCTTAAAGTTTCAGCTTTATGCTATCATTTTAATTCTTTGTATGCAGCGGTACTGTCAATGACAATAAGTGTTGTTAGTTTATTAATTGCCCCATAACATATCTTATGAAAGTCAATTAGCAGACTTGGATATACTTCACTGAGTTAGGTAGGTAGCTGATGTCAGCTTGCCTGGAAAGTGACTGAAGCCAGACACTTGGGTCCCTCTCAGCAGAAGAGGAGGAAGATATTGCTATACATGTGTGTGATTTAAAACTATATTCGGTCACATGACTTGAGAGACTATTTATAGTTTAGTTCCATCAGATATTAGCACATCCTGAGTTTTGAAAAGTCTTCCCATCTGTCTTACTCTGCTCTGAGAAGGAATGAATGACAATAAAAAAAAATCACAAGGTAAGTACAGTTTTAATTTTTTGGTTAGGCTATAAATCTATCAAGCTCTGGTTATAATATTTAAAGATATGTTCTATTGTTTGCAATTTATTTTTAGAGTTGGAAAAGTTAATCATTAGTTAGCTTCACATTAGTAAGTACTTGAGATTCATAAAACAAACATTAATTTCAAGTTAAAAATACTCTAGAAGGTTGTTACTTATTCTACATCAGTTATATGTGCACTGGGATGATTAGTAAGTAGATCCTTTGGTGGATGTGGGGTCTGTGTAAAGAAAAAACTCAGTTGGTATCTACTGGTGTTTTGGCAATCCTGCATGGAGAAAAGGGTTATTGAGGGAAAGAGATGAAGGGACAAAACATTTAAATGGCCCATGAGAGTAGAAAGTGATTTTGAGACAAATTTCCAGAGTTTCATGATTCACTGCTAAGCTACTGGGTTCACTGATTTTTCTTTAATCTCTAAACACAAGTGAATGATATCAATGTGCACAGTCATGTGTCCTGTGCTTTGGAGATTATTGTTTTGTGTTCTCAAGAGTCTGGCTTACAATTGGCCAGCTAAGCTATAAGCAGGGATTGTACTAATGAGCAGCTATTGCACTTAATTTGAGTGTCTGGATCACTCATTGGCCTGGAATGTCATGATAATAAACATATTTTTAATATTACATCAGAACTACAAGGACCTGTCCATTGAAATGTGTATGACACTGGCAGCCGGAGCACTCTGTGACAGACTGCGATCATTCACTTTGCAGAACTGGGCTTTGTTTACCTCTCAGGGACATCTACTATAAGATAATGACTTCTCTTCTAAAAATCTCCTTGGGTTCCCCTCAGAGGCCCTAAGCATTGTTCATCACTAATTTGACTATAAGTTAAAGAATGCTCTTTGGGAATTAGTCATCCTCTGTGATGAATCAC